AATCGGAAACAGGCTCCAGGCTCCGAGCCAGCAGCCCAGAGCCTGACGCGGGGCTCGAGCTCACGGACCGCGAGATCGTGACCTGGCTGAAGTCAGACGCTTAACCGACTGCGCCACCCAGGCGCCCCTTGCTTATTTTTTTTAACAATGTATAATGCGTTTTTCCCCACCTCATGAAAAGTTATTTGGAAACATTGTTGAAAGCTGCATAGTATGAATGTTCTTGAATTTATTTAACCATTCCCTTACTTTTAGACATTTAGGTTGTTTTCAGTCTGACATGATACTGTAGCAAGCATTGTTGTATATAAGTCTGTGTCTTTTTTTTTTCCTGATTATTTACTTGCGCTAGATTTCTAGATGTGGAAGATTGTGTCAAAGAGTCCAAATATTTTTTGGTTCTATAGACAATTTGGCATACTGCTTTTCAGAGAGATTATAATATTTCACATTCATATCTGTTCTCTCACTGTACCTTTGCCAACATTTAGAAATCACCTTTTTCTTTTAGTCTGGTTTGCTTGGTAAAAAATGTCTCATTGTAATTGATTGCAATTATGAAATCTTGTTTTTTAACTCTATTTATTTATTTTGAGAGAGAGAGAGAGACTGAGTGAGCAGGGAGGGGCAGAGGGAGAGAGAGAGAATCCCAAGCAGGCTCAGCACTAACAGTGCAGAGCCTGATGCAAGGCTCAAACTCACCAACCATGAGATTATGACCTGAGCCAAGATCAAAAGTCGGATGCTTAATTGACTGAGCTACCCAGGTACCCCATAAAACCTTTCTTTTAAGAAAATGAGTAGCAAATTTTTCATGTGTATCATGTTTTAAAATGACCATAATTATTCATGAAGATGTGTCTGACTCTTTTGTCTAAGATTTGTGCTAAGATAATATGACTAAATCTGTAAGTAGTGAAGATGCAAATTCTGGGAATGCAGCATGATTTTGTAAATGGCCTTTTTTCTAGTTTGTCTTTAGAAATACCTTTTGAAAGTGTTTTAGAAGCCCTCCTTTCTTTCCTAGGTTCCTGAACACTGAAATAGTAAAATCATCAGAGTAATGCTAGCTAATGCTTTTTGTGTACTTACTATTCTTTGCCAGGCACTGTGCCAAGTGCTGTGTTTGTATTAACTACAGATACTCCAGACACAACTACAGATAGTAACTACAGATACAAATACTGTATTTGTATTAACTAAGTTGTATAACTTAACTGCAGAGTTTTTATCTCCATTTTACAAAATAACCTGTATGAAATAAGGTTCACAGAAGTTAAGTTATTTGGCTGAGGCCATAAGTTATTAAGTGGCAGTTGCCCAGATCTGTACCCAGACAGTCTGACTCCAAAGCCTTACTCTTAAGCACTTTGATTCCTGGCAGGATTACTGACTTCAGAGTGGTTTATTCCTAAACACATAATCAGTTTTGTTAGTGGACAGCACTGTTTAGAAAAGAGCATTAACGATAATATTTCCTGAGCTCGAACTAAGTTTATGCTGCTTTGATTTCGTCTCACAGGTGTGCATTGCCAAGTGCAATAGCACCCCCTCCCTAGATGCAGTGCTCTGCCAGGACCTCGTTGTAGTGGAGGGCCCTGCTGTAGAAGTTGGAGATTCTTTGGAAGTGGCCTATACCAGCTGGCTCTTGCAGAATCATGTGCTGGGCCAGGTAAGGAAATGTAGCCTGCAAGTGCTTTTGTAACTGAAATAGCATGAGGGCTCTTCATATGTAGAGCATTACTGCTGTGAATTGCTGCTCTTGGCAAATAGAAATCTTTCAGGGACCCTGCTCTGACTGCTTTTGGTGTATAGTCATGAAATGCTAATATGTTCAATATGTTCGGTGCCACCTGGTCTCATCTATTTAGAATGGAAACCAGTTTCCCCCTAAGTTACATTTTTGGTAATGGTTTGTGTGTATGTCTTTGTCCTTCTATACTGGTTTCAAACTTGAATTTATTCTGATGGGATTAGGTCTTAAAACTTGTATTAGCAATAATCACACCTCAGATAAACCTCATTGGCTATGATACTGCCAACTGCACAAAGCTTAAAACTTCTTTTTAGACTTTCCTAACAATTGTTTCTTTGTTTTTTTGTGTGTAATAGATACTGGAAATATAATGGACTTTTGTGTTTTAATATCATTAAGCTCTCAAAAGCAGTATGATGTGATAGAAAGAACTTTAGACTAAGTAAAAAAAAATGAACATTCAAGTCCCAATTTAGCCATGATGTGGTCCCTTCTTTTTGGGTCTTTTAAGAACTCCCTACCCGCCCCCCCCCGCCCCTGCCCAGTATATTTGACATTCCTTATTCCAGGAATACTGTGCTGATCTATATTGACTATCACATTATTATTATTTTATTTATTTATTTATTTATTTATTTATTTATTTATTTATTTGGAAATTGGCTGACCTCATTTACTTTGATCAAATTGCAGGTTTTGGATTCTACTGCTAACAAAGATAAGCTGCTTCGCCTGAAATTAGGATCAGGAAAAGTCATCAAGGTACAGTGTTAACTGTGTTCTTTGTATGACTGTATTAGTTTCAGTGGGCTTAATTTAGATTAAATTTGTGAAATTTCTAGCCTGGGTGCATTGAGTCCAGAAAGGTGTGGTTAAAAAGTAGGAAAAATAAGTTCCACGTTATCTGGAAAACTACATGGGAAAATTTAACCTATGAGAATACATTGAAGATGGGGACATTTTTTTTTTAACAATTTTTTTTTTTTTTAATGTTTATTTTGAGAGAGAGAGACAGAGTATGAGCTGGCGAGGGGCAGAGAGAGGGAGACACAGAATCCAAAGCAGATTCCAGGCTCCGTGCTGTCACCACAGAGCCTATCGCGGGGCTCGAACTCATGAACTATGAGATCATGACCTGAACGGAAGTCGGATGCTTAACCAGCTGAGCCACTCAGGCGAAGATGGGGACATTTCTTTAGTTCCTACTGTTTCTTTTTCATTGTGTTACTGTGAGGAAATTATTAAGTCTTTCTTGTAGCCTCATAGGGAGAGAAGTGAAACTGTTTCTTCTAGAATTGTATCATAATGGGTGATTTTTATCTGTCTGAGATGCTTTGAATCAGCATTTTCCAATCATTGTGAGCAGCTATGATATAGCAGGCAGAACACTGGGATTGGAGTCTGAGGACTTGGGTTCATACTGTGAAGTTTTTCTTTACCAACTGTGCAAGTGTTTTATAAAATTCAGAGTAGTTTACAAATGTGGGCTATCATTGTGTCAGGAATGTTGAGGTGTTACAAAGTACTCATTGGTAAAAGTACTCATTGCCACTCCAGTGACAAAAAGGTTTTCGGTTTTCTTCATAGCTTTGTTTATCACTCCTTTTCTTAGAATCTTTTGGAGACTTTCTTATAGATCATAGGAGTTAAGGCCTGACCTTTAAAGCTAGATAGATCTAGTGTTACATCTTGGCTTAACAATTCACTAATAATTTGATCCAGGGTTAGTTACTTAAGCCTCCGTAAGCCTCAGTTTTCTTATCTGTAAAATGGGGATAATGCTTCTAACCTTATGAGGTTATTTTAGGGATTAAACAACACAGTCCAACTAAAGCAGTTACCAGAGTACTTGGAAAATGTGTTTAATGAATGATAGCTTTTATTTCTCTCTTTTTTAAAATTTATTTATTTTTTACTTTACATCCAAGTTAGTTAGCATATAGTGCAACAATGATTTCAGGAGTAGATTCCTTAATGCCCCTTACCCATTCAGCCCATTCCCCTCCCACAACCCCTCTAGCAACCCTCAGTTTGTTCTCCATATTTATGAGTCTCTTCTGTTTTGTCCCCCTCCCTGTTTTTATATTATTTTTGCTTCCTTCATCTCTTTGTATCTTAAAGTCCTCATATGAGTGAAGTCATATATTTGTCTTTCTCTGACTGACTAATTTCGCTTAGCATAATACCCTCTAGTGCCATCCACATAGTTGCAAATTATTTCTCTTTTAATACCATTCTCTCCTCCAGTTTCTCTCATTATCTGAGATAAGCATATTTCATCTAGCCCCAAATATGCTGGCTTTTACAAGTGAATAGAAGCAGTATTCTAGATATTCTTTTTTTTTTTTTTAATTTTTTTTTTTCAACGTTTTATACATTTTTGGGACAGAGAGAGACAGAGCATGAACGGGGGAGGGGCAGAGAGAGAGGGAGACACAGAATCGGAAACAGGCTCCAGGCTCTGAGCCATCAGCCCAGAGCCCGACGCGGGGCTCGAACTCCCGGACCGCGAGATCGTGACCTGGCTGAAGTCGGACGCTTAACCGACTGCGCCACCCAGGCGCCCCTCTAGATATTCTTATAACCTGTGAGGGGCGGGGTGGCAAGGGGAATAGTTGATCTCTCTCTAGGATCTTTAGAGGTCCAAATCTGAAAGTGTGGATGAGAGGATCCTAATCCCAGCACTTCATTTTGTCTTATGAGAAGGCTTGTGTCTGATAAGCTTTTCCTCTTGTCTGATTCCTGAAGGCCTGGGAGGATGGGATGCTGGGCATGAAAAAAGGAGGGAAGCGGTTGCTTGTCATCCCTCCAGCCTGTGCTGCCGGCTCTGAAGGGGTAACCGGATGGACTCAGTCGCCAGACTCAATCCTGGTGTACGAGGTGGAGATGAGGCGGGTGAGTGAAATTGTGCTGTTTTGTGTTTGATGAGTCCTTTTTGCCATTAAGTAAAATGAATAAATGTGTTTGAAAAACAAGTTCAAAGACTTTTTATTTTATTTTTTAAAGAAATGGTATAGTTGGAAAGAGCTACAGCTTTGGAATCTAAAGACCAAGGTTTATGTCCTTCCTGGTGCTCTGTTGAGTCTAGAAGAGGTAGTGACTGAACAAGTCAGTTCTCTACACTAACTTTTTTACTCTGTCTGTGAAATAGTGGTTCCTATCCAATGTACGTGATTTTTGCTTTAGTATTTCCATGGCTACAAATTTAATTTATTTTGTCTCTATGTTTACATAATAATGCAAAGATATCTGTACATAGATAGAGATACTTAGCTTCCTCTCTCTGCCATGTTGTTTGTAATAGTAAAAACTGGAAATAACTTAAATATCCATCATTAAGCAACTGGTAAGTTATGGTTTTTCATGGAGTGGACTTTTATGCATTTCTTACAGAATATGCAAAATCTGTTGTTAAGTGAAAAAAAGCAAGTTGCAAATTAGTATAGATAGTATGATCTCGTGTATGCATGTGTATGTAAATATATAAAATATTTATGAACAAACATATATAAAAATGTATATACACAGTCATACACATGTACATATGTATGTCTGTATCTATACAGATAGATACATGTATATTGCCCATGTCTTCATAGGAAATTTCTGGAATGTTAAAAAAAATGATTAAAAGTGACTTTTTCTGGGGAATGGAAATGGAGTTCAGAAACTTTTCTTTTGTACATCCTCCAAAATTTTTGTCGTGAATATGTAGAATTTCTACAATAAAATTTGTAACAAATTGTGGTTAAATAAATTAATGCTCCCCTCCAAAAAAAAAAAAAAAAAAAGGACCTTGTTTGCTTTTACATTGTGTTTGTTAGGTGTGCTAGTGTTTGTGACTATAAAATATAATATAGAAAATAAAAATTATGATTATCTTCACTGTGGCTGTTCTTTCTGCTGCAACCAATGATATGCTTTTCTTCTCAAGGACTTTCCTAATTGAACCCTTTATCTCTGCTGAGTCATTCCAGCCTTCTTTTACTGATGTGCTTTGAGCTGCCTTTTCCACAGCTTTTATATTCTGAGTTTTCCTTTGACTTTGAGGAAGTCATGATTGGTCTTGGATAACAAACCAGGGCACCTGTGTGGCTCAGTTTGGTTAAGCGTCTGACTTCGGCCCAGGTCATGATCTCACAGTTCGTGATTTCAAGCCCCGCGTCGGACTCTGCTAACAGCTCGGAGCCTGGTGTCTGCTTTGGATTCTGTGTCTCCCTCTCTCTCTGTCCCTTCCCCGCTCACACTCTGTGTCTCTCTCAGTCTCTGTCTCAAAAATAAATAAACATTAAAAAAAAAAAGATAGCAAACCAATTTGAATCCATTAAGACTGGCATTTTGTAACCATAAGAAAAAAAAACTCTATATTACTAATAATCAATGAATTACAAATTGACATGCTTATTAAATTGACCAGGCTGATACAGAATGATAATACCCAGTGTGATGAGCATCAAGAGAACATTACACACTACTTGTGGAGTAGAGAGAGAGGAGTTCACCCTTTGTGGTGTGAAATGTAGTGGTGTATACCAAAAGCCTTAAAAATGAACATACCTTTTCTCCAACTGTTTAACTTCTGGGAATTTATACTTTGGGAAAGATTATGTACAAAGATATAGATAAAAACTCATTCATAGAAGTATTGTTTATGATGTGACAGGGAAATTAGAAATGAACTGGATGTCTAACAACTAGGAATTGGTGAAATAAATTTTGTAGCAACATATTTAAGACTTCGGTTTCCATAGTCTTTTAGAGACTTTTTCCTGTAGATAATAGCAGGTATGGGGTATGACCCTTGAAGTTAGACATACTCTTCAGTAGTTAAAAATGATGTTGTAGATTGGTAATTTAGTAACATGGAAATGTATTACTGAGTGAGCAAAGCAGGTTTCAAAACAACATGGTCCCTTTTTTGTAAAAAATACACAAACACATAGATGTGAAACACTGCACAGACTCTAGCAGTGTTATTGTGTCGTGGTTGGATTACGGATGATGATGATGATTGGCTTATCTACATTTTCTGATTTGCTACAAGGGAACAGGTAATGACTTGTGTAGTGAAGAATAAGTAAAAGAAAGGAGGGCAGAGAAGGCAGGATCTCTTTTTTTGTAGCCTGTTCCACCTGTGGTTGATCTCTTCCCAGGTCAAGTTTGCCAGAGATTCTGGCTCTGATGGGCACAGCGTTAGCTCCCGCGATTCTGCCGCCCCTTCTCCCATACCAGGTGCGGACAGCCTCTCTGCTGACCCTGTTGTATCACCACCTACGTCGGTGCCTTTCAAATCAGGGTAAGATCCTGAAGTTGTATCATGCTTTTTTATTGTCCATAGAAGCGATCCGTAGAGGGGTTAAGAAATAAGGTGTAGTTGCAAACTAAAATAATTTTATTTATTTTTTATTTATTTATTTTTTTTATACTTTAAAAAAAAATTTTTTTT